GCACGTCCGCAAACGCGGCCGCATGCGGTTTGCAAAACAAGTTCCATGTGTGTGTTTCTGGGATGGTTGCGCTAGCCACGGGAGTGATATCTTACTACGTACAATGATCAAGTGTACCATGTAGATTGCGCCACATGGCTCCCACCGCACATCTCACACCACATATTTGCGTTCAGGGTGGCAAGTCTAGATGAGTTTGCCTCATCCTTCCTTTTGCAATTTAAGCCATGCCACCCCAGACAATCGTGCACTGCCCCCGTTTATCCTTGTCAAAGAAGTTCACGCGTGCACACTCGTGTCCTTTCAAAGGATCATGTTTCAAGAAAGTTCTGGAACACCGCAAAAGAATGCCGACGCGCGCGCACACGCCGAGTTCATACCAGGCACCCTAGTTGCGCAATCGCTCCAGCACGCAGGCATCAAGCACGTGATGATGTCCTGCATCGTGTCTTGCAAACGTTCTGTCCGCGCGCACTTGTTGAGAGCACGGGGCATCATGATTTTGGCGATCCCGTCCGGAAGCTGCATTCTCGTGTCACCTCAGGCCCCCGGAGACCAGGACACAGATAAACCAGGACACGGAAAACCAAGGAAACGACATCTTTTCCTGCAAGGTCACGTTTTTCAGCTCCCGTGCACGTTTTGTTTGCTGCGCTGCAGGATTCGGGTTTATGCCCGGGTTTAGCAGGGGGGTCTTGCAGCTTTTTGGGGCTTGTGTCCGGGTCTATTCTGGAAATGCTGCGGTGTGGTATTTTGTTCGTGCCGCCGTTTGGAAAATCCGGTTTCGAGGGATGTTGGGTGTCCGGGTCTAGCGTGTCTGGGTCTACGGGGCCCTGATCACCACGCAGTGCGTCCACGTTGATCCAGCATGCGCCCCGTGCGCGAACCCGTACCCAACGCCACCGCGTGGGCCGCAGAGGCGGGCGCCGCCACCTCCGCGCGTGTCGAAATCCCGCCAAGAAACGAGTGGCTCTCGAAGCACTTCACGCCAAAGCTCTTCACGCCACCTCCTCCTCCTCCTCCTCCTCCTCCTCCTCCTCCCATGTGGGTGCCTGTTCGTTTTTTCAGCAACGAGTCTTCCTGTGCTTTTGCTGTTCTGCCCGAGCGCAAGTCCTCCCCATCACCCTCACCACGCGGCCGCATCAGCCGTGCCAAACCAGCTGGTCGCTCTGCGCTCAGGCTTGCGCGCGCCAGCGCGGCCGCAGAGATGTGCCAACCAGTGCCAAGCACATCCGCAATCGTGGCCGCATGGTTTTTGAAAGCAGGTTGCGGGTGGGAGGGTGGAGTGTTTGCGCGGGCAGTGGAGTAGACGACTTCAAGTTCTACCAGGTGGGCCACATCCCATAGATCACACTACAGAGCCTACACATCCACAGCGCAACGTCCCCCATGCACGGGGCTCACGCTGGCAACCACTCGCGCTATCTCTCTCTCCCTCTCTCTGTCTCTTTTTTTTTTTCTATATCTCTCTCTCTCTCTCTATCTCTCTCTCTTTCTTTCTCTCTCTCTCTCTCTTTCTCTCTCTCTCTCTCTCTCTTATATATACACATATATATATGTGTATATATATAAGAGAATAGGCCGGGCCCCCGTTCGGGGCGTCCTCCACATCAATCACATTTGCATTACGCTCCCGGTGCCGCGCTTCCCGGCCTCCCTGGGAGCCCCTAAAACGCCCAAAGACAGCCCAAGACGACCCCAAGAAGCCCCCAGAATGTAAAAGAACGGCCCAAGACGCTTCCAAGCAACCCAGGATAGCTTTCGGGCGGCTCTCCAGGCTCCCAGGAGGCCTCCAAGAGACCTCATGAGAGCTCCGAGAAGCCTCCCGAGAGCGCCCGGAGAACCTAACATCGTTAATTTTCATTGTTTTTGTGCATGGTGTGTGGCCTTCTCACCATTTCATGCTTCCAACGCTCCAACACGGTCGAACAGGCCCCCAAGACCGCCCCAGAAGAGGCGCCCAGGACAGCTCCAGACCACCGCAGAACAGGCACAAGACGAGCCCAAGAGCGGGAGCAGGAGGCCTCCAGAGACCTCCGAGAGGACTCCAGGACCTCCCAGAGGCCTCCAACACACCCCAGACCCCTGAGAGGCCCACAAAAAAAACCCGATGAGGCCCCAAAAACAGCGCAAGAGAGCTTCGAGAGCCGTCCCGAGAGAGCCCGAAGAGGGTCAAATCGTTGATTTCCATTTGTTTTTGTCGACTCTTCGCCTGCTCACGTTTTCCTGCTTCCAACGCTCAAAGACCGAGGAACTTGAAAAATAGGGGATTCCAGAGATTGGTTTTTTGAACATTGGGACTCCTACTCCCTATTCTCTTCCTCGAGCCCCATCAAGCAGACTTCGGAGTCACATGCAAAGATGTTTCGGGAATATTATTGAACCCTCTGACGCTGTGTTGGCACTCTCTTGGATCGTCTTCGCGTCCTTTTGGCTGCCCCTGAAACCACCGTAGAAACCGAGATGAGATCCCATGATCCCATAAGTTTAACATTCTAAATTCCTTGTATTTCAAACTCACCACCTGCTTTTTTTTGCACGAAGATCCCGAGAGGCATCCCAACGAACCGTGGCGTGTATCCAGAAAATTTCTAACCCACAGCCCAGGCACGGCAACTTGAAACAGATGATCCCACAGTTCCTTTTTTGTCAAGTTCGCCCCTGGTCTGTTCTTGCACAACAGACTATAATTAAGGACCCCCTTCAGCTCCCAGAAAAGAAACCAGGAAGCCGTTGAGGGCCCCACATCGTTGAATACCTAACCGGAACTAATGATTTCCGCGTTTCCGCAGTTCCCCTCCTAGACGGTCCCGAGGCTTGCCCAGGGCCTCAAAGAGAGCCCTTGGATGCAAGAAGCGACACACATGCGATTCCATGATTGAGCCCGTCAAGCCTAGCTAGAACTTGAGCGCGCGCGATGGTTCTAGTATATGTATATATATATATATGTACGTGTGTATATTTATGGGTATGTGATATATGTATATATATAGCTATAAGTATAAACATATATATATATATATGTATATATATGTATATATCTATATATACATTCCCTTTCTCTATTTTATAATTTGGGATCCTGCGACCCCCCCCACCTTCCCGAAAAAGGGACCCCTGCGGATCCTTCGCCCCGGGGGGCACCCTGGACGGTCCTGCAGACGGTCCCTTGTGCTTCCCGGGGGCTCCCGGGCGCCCCTGCCGGGCCTGGGCAGCGGGCTCACATCGGCCAGGCGTGCGGCGGGGCATCTCCGCGAGAGCCCACAGAGGTCCCAGACACCCACAATTAACCCGAGGAAGCAATTAAAAACGCCCCCCCCCCCCCCCCCCCCCCTCCTGCGAAACGATATCCCCCCGCACCTGGAAGCGTTACTCCGGCACCTGCGGCTAGGAGGAGGAGGAGGAGGAGGAGGAAGCACATCGCCTGAGACATCCTCGCATTTCTTCATAGAATTGGCCAAATCGCCTGAGACATCCTCACATTTCTTAATAGACTTGGCCAAATCGCCTGAGACATCCTCATATTTCTTATCGCCTGAGCAGGCCTGGCAGGAGTCCAGGTATTCAGAAAGAAGCAGTGGCGCCTTATATTTTTTGTAGAATTGGCCACGTCGCCTAAGACATCCTCGCACTTCTTAGTAGAATTGGCAAACTCGCCTGAGACATCCTCGCATTTCTTAATAAAATTTGCCAAATCGCCTGAAACATCAGTTGTTCCTTGGGCCTCTCAGCCAGGTCATGGTTGTCAGGAGTAACTATCTACCATTGGTGTCTTCCGACGATTACGGCGACGACGAGCACGACCTGGCTGTCGCACGGATATTTTTTTTGGCCGGGTGCTAAGATAACGCCACGGTGCGGGGTGGGGGCGATACCCTTGGGTGGACCACCCCCTACGACGGCCGAAAAAAACGCATTTCTCTAAAGGATTTGCAATAGAAACCTCATCGGAAAAACAAGCGGATCAGAACAAAGAGCAGAGAAGGAAGAGGAGGAAATCGTTTGAAACATCCTCACACATCTTAGTAAAATGGCACAAATCGCCTGAGACATCCTTGCATTTCTTTTTAGAATTAGCCAAATCGCTTGAGGCATCCTCACATTGTTTAACAGAATTGTCCAAATCGCTTGAGCACCCTCACACTTCTTATTCGAATTGGCCAAATCGCTGGAGACATCCTCACATGTCTTACTAGAATTGGCCAAATCCTTGAAACATCCTTACATTTCTTCTTAGTCTTCGTTCGTACTTTCGTTCGTTTTAGTCGTATCCTCATTCGTGGTCTGCGAGGGTCGCTGCTTTGTTCGGAGTACCTCGATTCCATGAGGATCATGAGGAAAACGATGTTTATTATCAGCATTCCTACAGTCAGTCGTATGATGCTTCTCATTAGTCGTATTATTCGTTCTTTTCTGCTTCTTATTCTTCTTATCTTCGTTCGTATCTTCGTATCTTCGGCGACGACGAGCACGATCTGGCTGTCACACGGATATTTTTCCGGCCGGGTGCTAAGATAACGCCACGGTGCGGGGTGGGGGCGATACCCTCGGGTGGACCATCCCCTACGACGGTCGAAAAAAAACGCATTTCTCCAAAGGATTGCCAATCGAAGCTGCATCGGAAAAACAAGCGGATCATAACAAAGAGTAGAGAAGGAAGAAGAAGAAATCGCTTGACACATCCTCACACATCTTAGTAACATGGCACAAATCGCCTGATACATCCTCACATTTCTTCTTAGCATTAGCCAAATCGCTTGAGACATCCTCACACTGCTTAACAGAATTGTCCACATCGCCTGAGCACCCTCACACTTCTTATTCGAATTGGCCAAATCTCTGGAGACATCCTCACATGTCTTAATAGAATTGGCCAAATTCCCTGAGACATCCTCACATTTCTTCTTAGTCTTCGTTCGTATCTTCGTTCGTTTTAGTCGCATCCTCATTCGTAGTCTGTGAGGGTCGCAGCTTTGTTCGGAGTACCTCGATTCCATGAGGATCAGTACCTCAAGAAAGTGTTCAGGGTTGATCGTGAGTACGTCGGCGGTGAGGCTCTCTTCGGGGAAGTGGGCCACTGCATGTACGCTCACCACGAGGATCAGGAGATCAGCATCTTAGACGATCAGATGACTAACAGGCGCGTCCCAGTCAGCGCGGTCGTTGAGGCGAATGAGACGTTGCCTAAGCCGAAAGCACTTCTGACGCGAAAGCACGTGAGCAAGAAGATGAACTATCAGATGCTTGGCAGACTCGGCATCACGGTAGCATCACGGTAGCATCACGGTAGCATCACGGTAACAGTAGCATCACGGTAGCAGTAACACCAGCATCACGCCATCAGGTTTCATCGTCATCACGGTAGCAGTAACAGTTACGGTGTCAGCAGTACTTGTGACATTCGCTTTATTCTTATTATTGTTATTATTCGCATGTTCATTCGTATTCTTCTTCTGATTACAATTCCAATTGGGATGCCATCCGAGGCGGGACGCAGGAATTATTTACTTTCCTTTCAGGTGCGCGGTGCTAATTATATCGTTCGGCGAAAACCCCCAGAATAATTAGTCAATTACGGGGCGGTGCTAATGATAACCCCGGGGGGATCCTTAATCGCTTCCTGAGGTTACCAGCCTGGAACATATCCCTATCCTTATGTTTGACGTCACCTCACCTCGATGCCGATCTTAAGGATTCCCTCAGTGTTTGAGGGCCTATCCCCAAGATTGTCCTCGCTTTTCGCTCGCCCATCCTGGGGATAGGGATACGTTCGGGGCTGGTTACACCAGACGCTGGAAGGCGACCCAAAGAAGACCTCCAAGAGGCATCCGAGACGCAACAAACATTGATTCGACGGTGTTTGCATGATTTGGGGGATGTTCAGTTCGTCGGTTTTCCGGGCGTCCGAGGCTGCTCAGGAGGCCAGAGCATAGCCCCAAATTTACCCAAGAGGGCTTCCAGGCAGTCCAAGAGGAGCCCCAAAACGGACCAACAGGGCCCAAAGATGGCCCGAAGAGAGCCCCATGAGGGCTCAATATGCCCCCAAGACGCCTCCCGAATCATTCCAAATCGTGACGCGGTCGTTCAGAGAGACCGCAGTTGAAAACATGGTGGGCCGGGGAAGCCCCCAGTGGCCTTCAGAAGGAACCCAGGAGGCTTCCAGGAGGCCCGAACAAGACCTCAAAGACCTTCGTGAGATTTGCAAGAGGCTCCCCTAGAATGAGCCACAACAAAAAGAGCTGAATATGGTGGCAAATTCGCAGGGTAGGGCAAGAATGAGGAGGAGGAGAAATGAACTATGAGGGAAGGATACCGAAGAACGTTAGCGCCTTTCTCTCGGCATGTCAAGGTTGAAGAACCACAGGGCATGGCGCGAAGCGCCGATGCAGCCTTGTATATACATAGTTATAGATCGATGTACACATTCACATATATGCATATATACACATGTGTGTAATTGTTATGTTGGCTATCTTTTTTTCCAAGGGTGAACACCATAACCCGAACAACAATAAGCTCAAATGGAAGCGCCGAAAATGCCAGGCATGTGATGTCTGGCAGTCTGGGCGCCCCCATTGGGATATGATTGTATGGTCGTCGCATGTCTAGCGGATATCCTCGCATTCAGCAGTCATGCGCAATCATGCGCGCGCGGGCCACTAGGAAAGTTATAAATGCTTCGCGTGACCCCACTAGCGCATCCAGAAACGATGCCCAGGCCAGTCGCCCTGATCAGGGGTGTGGAGGAACACGCACTGGAATCAAGGGCTGGGGAAGTCGGCATACCCGAAATAAGGGGGAGGATTGAGCAGGAATCGGGGGAGGGGGATGAGGACGAGGAAGGGGGAGCATGAGTAGGGGTGGGGAGGAGGAGGAGGAAAAGGAGGATGATGAGGAGGAGGAGGTGGAATTGGCGGATGGGAAGAAGGATGATGATGATGAGGAGGAGGAGGAGGGGGGGGAGGAGGGCGACCAGAATAGTCAGATGCCTCTTGGATGCCTCTCCGAGTCTTTCCGTATGTCTCTTGAACGTTGTGTTGGGTCCTCTTAGGGGCGACTTGGGGTCCTCGTGGTGGTCCCAGGGATTCCATTGGAGCGTCTTAGGTGCCTCGAGTGAGTTTTGTTGAGGCCTCTGGGGTGTCTTTCAGGGGTCTCTTTGGGGGCTCTTCCGGGCTCCTGGGCGCCTCTTGGGGCCTTCTTGAGGCACTCTTGAGAGCTTTGAGGGGCATCTTCGAGGACATCGATCAAAGAAGGGGGGGCCCAATTAGCACTGCACCTCTGGAGCAGTCTAAGCTCGCCTCCTGGACCCCTCTTGGGGCGCTTTTGGAGCGCTCTTGGGGCCGTCTTGGGGCCCTCTCGGGCTCCTCTTGAGCCTCTCTTGGGCAGTGTTGGGGTTATCTTGAGGCCTCGGAGGGCCGTCGAAAGCGAAAAGGCGAGAAGGCAAGCACGTTGCTGACTGCAGGCTTCTGCAGGCCAGGAGCTTGTCCCGTTGGTGGTCTCCCTGGGAGGCTGCGCGGCCACATTGGAGCCATCTTGGGGTGGTCTTGGGGCCCCCTGGGACATGCTGAGGGCCGTCTTGAGCCATGTTGGCAGTCGCTCGCAAGCAGGCCATCTCACAAACTCCATCGGAGGCTCCTAAGGCGTTATAGGCCTCGGAGTGCAGTGAGCTGCACGACCCTCTGAGAGCGAGCTGCTGGATCTCCACCCAACGCGAACCATCTGGGAAGTCATCTTTGGCTCTCTCAGGCCCTCTTGGAGGCATCTTGGGCCATCCTGGACGCTCCAATGGGTCGCGACCCCCCACCGCCCAGGTCCAGGGGAGGGGGCAGGGACAGTGATCAAGCTACCCTTGAGCCGTATCGCTCACTCCCAGCCGCCCTCCCACTACATGAATAGGACTCGAGTCTCAGAACAGGCAGGGGCCGCCATCGACATTCATCGGGAACCAGTGCGGACGCCAGCCAGGTACGCGATGCCTGCGAGGTGCGCCGCACGTGCCAGGTGCGCCACGCGCACCAGGTGCGCCACATTGGGCAAAATGTCGACCGCCTCACCATCCCTGTCAAAAGCCGATACGATGTGACGGCGGGTGTGCGAGCATTCTGAATTGTGTGTGTGGGTGCGCACCCGCAAACACTTTGCACTTGTTTTAGAAAGGCGTAGCAGGCCTGTACACAGCATGCAGTATGCCAGGAGGGGCGAACCCCTTTCCGAAGGTGATGAAGGGAACGATGGAGCATGAAACGATCCAAACCGTTCACGCCCGAAGGGATTAGTGGGATTAGCGTGAACACGATTGCAAGCAACGCGCTCCTCATGATAATGCGTCGTTTGTGTTGCTCTAGGGTGCGCTTCGGTTGCACATCTGGCTTCGGTGCACTTGTTCAAAGATAGTTCATGAGCTTTCCGGGGGCTGCAGCCCTTCATGCCGTTCCGCGTGTCTTCGTCCTCGTTGCCACCCGTTGTCTCTTTTGTTCCCCTTCCTCATAATACTTTGAATTATGTGTCGTCGCAATCCTTTCCTGCCGTTTCTGATCGTTGCTGAATTCGTCGGCGTTGCTTCAGATCAGCCCCATGGGGCGTTCAACGCAACGGCCTCCTATATAGCTCTGACGCTGGGTCGCGCCTGCTGTCTACATCACCATTCGTTTAGGATGGGCCTGTTGTTGTTGCCAATTGCTTCAAGTAGTTTGGGTGCAAGAACGCGCGCCTCCCATGCAGGGACGCTGGCCCTTCCCACCCACGGCAGCTTCGTCCGTTACTTCATGCGTTGGGGTACAAATCCGCACAATTGGAGTTTTCTTTGGGCGCCTGCCTTGGGACATTCTGAAACCTTCGTGGAGGGGGGTACTGGGCCGTCTGGGGCTGGCCTCTGGGTACCTTGCAGCCGTCTCGGGGCGACCTCTGGCCGTCTCCTCCTCCCTCCTCCCTCTTCCTTAGGAGCGTCTTAATTGGAAGCCGACGAGGGTGCTGGGAAGCCATCCTCGGAGGGGGGTGGGGCGGGGGGGGGGATGGCCATTCTTGGACAGCGCTTGGTAGTAGTGGTGGGGGGGGACTGGCTTTGGAAGCCACAAACGCCCTGCCAGGCAACCACGAGAACAAGTACAAGTACAACCACAACCACCCGCACGAGCACCACAATGTCGTGGACGACGAGAGCAAGCACGGGTACGACCACACGCAGCAGCACGAGTGCAACATCCGTCATGGCAACGAGCACGAGCACGAGTGCAAGTGCAACCACCCGGTCAAGTACCACCGCAACCATTGCCACAGTGTCGTCGACGACGAGTGCGAGCACGAGTACGACCACCCGTAGCAGCATTAGTGCGACATCAGGTTCGGTTACGACCACGAGTACGAGTGCAAGTGCAACCACCCGTACAAGCACCACCGCGACCACTACAACAACGCCCACGACGAGTGCAAGCACGGGTACGACCACCCGTAGCAGCATCAGTGCGACATCTGGTTCGGCTACGACCACGGGTACGAGTGCGAGTGCAACCACCCGTACAAGCACCACGGCGACTTCCATCACGACGTCGACGACGAGTGCAAGCACGGCAACGACCACACGCAGCAGCACCTCTGCGACATCTTTCACGACTACGACCACGAGTACGAGTACCACGAGTACGAGTGCAAGTGCAACCACCCGTACAAGCACCACCGCGACCACTACAACAACGCCCACGACGAGTGCAAGCACGGGTACGACCACCCGTAGCAGCATCAGTGCGACATCCGGTTCGGTTACGACCACGAGTACGTGTGCAAGTGCAACCACCCTTACAAGCACCACCGCGACTTCCGTCACGACGTCGATAACGAGTGCAAGCACGGGTACGACCACACGCAGCAGCACCTCTGCGATTTCTGTCACGACCACGGCCACGAGTACAAGTGCAAGTGCAACCACCCGTACGAGCACCACCGCGACCTCGGTCACGACGTCGACGACGAGTGCAAGCACGGGTACGACCACCCGCAGCAGCACCTTTTCGACATCCGTCACGGCTACGGCCACGAGTACAAGCGCATGGACAATTTCCAGTGCAACCAACTCCGCGACCTTTCCGTCAATAACAGCGACGACGAGTGCAAGCACGGATACGACCACACGCAGCAGCACGAGTTCGACATCTGTCTCCGTTACGACCAAAAGCACGAGTGCAAGTTCAATCACCCGTACAAGTACCACCGCGACCATCACCACAATGTCGTCGTCGACGACGTCGAGCGCAAGCACGGGTACGACCACACGTAGCAGCATCAGTGTGACATCTGTTTCGAGTACGAGTGCAAGTACAACCACCCGTACAGCCACCACAGCATCCTCAGAAACATTGTCAGCGACGTCAAGTAAAAGCACCGGTACGACCACACGCAGCACCGTCAGCGCGACATCCGGTTCGGCTACGACCACGAGTACAAGTGCAAGTGCAACCACCCGTACGAGCACCACCGCGACCACCGTCACAACGTCGTCGGCGACGAGTGCAAGCACGGGTACGACTACCCGTAGCAGCATCAGTGCGACATCTGGTTCGGCTACGACCACGGGTACGAGTGCGAGTGCAACCACCCTTACAAGCACCACGGCGACCACTACCACAATGTCGTCGACGACAACGACGAGCGCAAGCACGGGTACGACCACACGTAGCAGCATCAGTGCGACATCTGATTCGGCTACGACCACGGGTACGAGTGCGAGTGCAACCACCCTTACAAGCACCACGGCGACCATTACAACAATGTTGCCGACGACGAGTGCAAGCACGGGTACGACCACCCGTAGCAGCATCAGTGCGACATCCGCTTCGGTTACGACCACGATTACGAGGGTAAGTGCAACCACCCGTACAAGCACCACAGCATCCTCAGAAACATTGTCAGCGACTTCAAGTGCAAGCACGGGTACGACCACACGCAGCACCATCAGCGCGACATCTGCTTCGGCTACGACCACGAGTGCGAGTGCAAGTGCAACCACCCGTACAAGCACCACCGCGACTTCTGTGCCGACGACGAGTGCAAGCACGGGTACGACTACCCGTAGCAGCATCAGTGCGACATCTGTTTCGGCTACGACCACGGGTACGAGTGCAAGTGCAACCACCCGTACGAGCACCACCGCGGATTCCGTGACGACGTCGACTACGAGTGCAAGTACGGTCACGGCCATCCGCAGCAGCACCTCTACGACATCCGTCACGGCTACGGCCACGAGCACAAGCGCATGGACAATTACCAGTGCAACCATCTCCGCGACCTTTCCGTCAATGTCAGCGACGACGAGTGCAAGCACGGATACGACCACGCGCAGCAGCACGAGTTCGACATCTGTCTCCGTTACGACCAAAAGCACGAGTGCAAGTTCAATCACCCGTACAAGTACCACCGCGACCATCACCACAATGTCGTCGTCGACGACGTCGAGCGCAAGCACGGGTACGACCACACGTAGCAGCATCAGTGTGACATCTGTTTCGAGTACGAGTGCAAGTACAACCACCCGCACAGACACCACAGCATCCTCCGAAACATTGTCAGCGACATCAAGTGCAAGCACCGGTACGACCACACGCAGCACCGTCAGCGCGACATCCGGTTCGGCTACGACCACGAGTACAAGTGCAAGTGCAACCACCCGTACGAGCACCACCGCGACCACCGACACAATCTCGTCGGCGACGAGTGCAAGCACGGGTACGACCACCCGTAGCAGCATCAGTGCGACATCCGCTTCGGTTACGACCACGAGTACGAGTGTAAGTGCAACCACCCGTACAAGCACCACAGCATCCTCAGAAACATTGTCAGCGACTTCAAGTGCAAGCACGGGTGCGACCACACGCAGGACCATCAGCGCGACATCTGCTTCGGCTACGACCACGAGTGCGAGTGCAAGTGCAACCACCCGTACAAGCACCACCGCGACTTCTGTGCCGACGACGAGTGCAAGCACGGGTACGACTACCCGTAGCAGCATCAGTGCGACATCTGTTTCGGCTACGACCACGGGTACGAGTGCAAGTGCAACCACCCGTACGAGCACCACCGCGGATTCCGTGACGACGTCGACTACGAGTGCAAGTACGGTCACGGCCACCCGCAGCAGCACCTCTACGACATCCGTCACGTCTACGGCCACGAGCACAAGCGCATGGACAATTACCAGTGCAACCATCTCCGCGACCTTTCCGTCAATGTCTGCGACGACGAGTGCAAGCACGGATACGACCACGCGCAGCAGCACGAGTTCGACATCTGTCTCCGTTACGACCAAAAGCACGAGTGCAAGTTCAATCACCCGTACAAGTACCACCGCGACCATCACCACAATGTCGTCGTCGACGACGTCGAGCGCAAGCACGGGTACGACCACACGTAGCAGCATCAGTGTGACATCTGTTTCGAGTACGAGTGCAAGTACAACCACCCGTACAGCCACCACAGCATCCTCCGAAACATTGTCAGCGACATCAAGTGCAAGCACCGGTACAACCACACGCAGCACCGTCAGCGCGACATCCGGTTCGGCTACGACCACGAGTACAAGTGCAAGTGCAACCACCCGTACGAGCACCACCGCGACCACCGACACAATCTCGTCGGCGACGAGTGCAAGCACGGGTACGACTACCCGTAGCAGCATCAGTGCGACATCCGATTCGGCTACGACCACGGGTACGAGTGCAAGTGCAACTACCCGTACGAGCACCACCGCGACCATTACAACAATGTCGCCGACGACGAGTGCAAGCACGGGTGCGACCACCCGTAGCAGCATCAGTGCGACATCTGGTTCGGCTACGACCACGGGTACGAGTGCAAGTGCAACCACCCGTACAAGCACCACCGCGACTATTACAACAATGTCGCCGACGACGAGTGCAAGTACGGGTACGACCACCCGTAGCAGCATCAGTGCGACATCCGCTTCGGTTACGACCACGAGTACGAGTGTAAGTGCAACCACCCGTACAAGCACCACCGCGACCATTTCAACAATGTCGCCGACGACGAGTGCAAGCACGGGTACGACCACTCGTAGCAGCATCAGTGCGACATCCGGTTCGGTTACGACCACGAGTACGAGTGCAAGTGACACCATCCGTACAAGCACCACCGCTATCTACGTCACGACGTCGACGACGAGTGCAAGCACGGGCACTAACACCCGTAGCAGCATCAGTGCGACATCCGGTTCGGGTACGACCAAGAGTACGAGTGCAAGTGTAATCACCCGTACGAGCACCACCGCGATTTCTGTCACTACGTCAACGTACACCAGTGCTACCGCAGGATCTGTCACAATGACGCCGACGAGTACGAGCTCCAGTATTACGTCGAGCACCAGCAGTTCCGCAACATCGCTCACAGCCACAACCACGAGTGCAAGCACACTAACCACATCTCATACTAGTACTACTGTAACATCCATCACGTCGACGACAACGAGTAAAAGCACATTCACCACCACTGCATCTAGCACCACAGAAACAACGATTACAATGTCAATGACAAGTACGAGCACGGTCACCACGACTGGTACTAGTTCAACAGCAACATCCATCACATCAACAGTCACGAGCACCACAACTCCATTGTACGTTGTGAGTAGCATCTTATCATTCCAGAGCACTGGTGCGCAGGCTGACGTCGAGGGCGCCGCATTGAGTCACGTCGCCGAAACTCTTGGTGTCGGAGAGGACGAATTGACTCTGACAGTTTCTGGGGTTACACTGAAGTCGGGCGGAACAGGGAAGACAACATCTTCCCAGTGGGATGTCGCGTATGAAGTCGTGGCGGACCAGCACACGGCGGAGCAACACTACCAGGCCGCCGCAGCCATGAGTGCCAACGCCTCACAGGCCGCGAGGGCAATGGCGGTCAGTTTCGAGAAGTCGAGTATCGATCTCAACGAGGACTCCGTCAACATTGCTGATCCCGAGATTAAAATTGTCACCGCCACAATGACAACTGTAACTGGCACGACGACATCCGTCACTGTCACCGAGACCACTACCACCATGACCAGCACCACGAGCGTTACTGCCACTGGCACGACAACATCCGTCACTTTCACCGTCACCACAATCACCATGACCACCTCCTCGAGGACAAGTGCCACGGCAACGACGACCACCGTGTCCACAGCAACCGGCACGAGCGTGACAGCTTCCAGCACGACGATATCCGCCACTTCTACCATGACCACCTCCTCGAGGACAAGTGCCACGGCAACGACGACCACCGTGTCCACAGCAACCGGCACGAGCGTGACAGCTTCCAGCACGACGATATCCGCCTCTTCTACCATGACCACTTCCTCGAGGACAAGTGCCACGGCATCGACGACCACCGTGTCCACAGCAACCGGCACGAGCGTGACAGCCACCAGCACGATGATATCCGCCACTTCTACCATGCCCACCACCTCGAGGACAAGTGCCACAGCAACGACGATCACCGTGTCCACAGCTACAGGGACAAGCGACAGTACCACTGCCACGATTACCACTACAACGACGGCGACCACTGTATACACCATGACTGGTACGAGCGAAACTGCCACTGGCACAAGCGACACGGCTACAGGCACACGCGTGACGGACACATCGACAATTGTTTCCACACCCGTCATGGACATAGCGACATCGCGCACTACAGTGACCACGACCACCACCACCCTTCTGACGGACACGAGCATCACAACCATCAGCACAGCAACGGTGACCTCCGCCTTTACCTTGACTGGCACGACCCCTGCTACTGTCGTTGCCTCCACAGCCACTGGCACCAGCAATCCTATCAAAGGGCCATCCAGCTCCACTCTGCCCAGCACGAGCAACATGGCAACCTTGACAACCATAGCAACGACCACGGGCCTTACCTTCATTGGCACAGGCACCACAGACATATTGACCACCACCCGCGCGGGCACAAGTTCCACAGTGACGACCACAACCGCCCTGTTCTATGTGCAGCATCGATTCGTCTTCGCCAGCTCAGGGACGCAGTTGGAGATCGTGGATGCAGTGACGGAGGCGTTGCTCAGCATGTTGAGTGTGACGGACGAGCAGCTGGCAGTGGAGGTATCCAGCACCGCGGGATCCCGGGACTCGGAGCGAAGGCTGAGCAGTACAGAGTGGCAGGTGGACTACGAAGTGACCGTGGGTCGCAACGCGGCAGACGCGGTCTTGCTCGCGGCCGGCGAGATGAGCTCCAGCGCGACGGCGCTGACGCAGGCGCTGACGCAGGCTCTTTCCAGCCGCGGCCTTCAGCTCGAGGCGGGCTCGGTGGCGGTGGAGACGCCACTGCTGGTGGAGGCGACGGAGCTCGCCTCCAGCATCACAGGATCAGGCTGGGAGGGGAAAACACCCAGACCAGCCCTGCCCTGCTTGATTCCTTCTTTAAGGGCGTTTGTTGAACGGCTTCGCGTGTCAGGGTGGTTCTTCTCGGGGTGGATTTTCTGCCCTCTGCAGGCGCCGGTGGTACACCTGAGCCGACCTCTGCAACAGGCGCCCCGACGCCGTCTCCCGCGGCCGCAGCTGACGCCGAGGCCGAGGATGGCGGCATGACCAATGCAGGGAGCAGCTCCTCCGACACTCGCCCATCCTTCCGCTCGGCTCCCCAGTACCCCCCCCCTCCCTCTTGTTCCTTCGTCCTCCCGGCCCCCCTTACCATTAAGTCGGGCGCGTCCCTCTACAGGAGGAGTATCCAAAACTAGTCAAAAAAACAGTCTGGGGACGATTTTTTTTGAGATTATTGTTGGGCACTTTTTGGATATGTTTTGAGTACATTTTTCCTTCAAAATCCGCCCGTAGGGTGACATGCCCGACCTGACCTCATCAGCTTGACACATATTCCGGTCCCTATGTTTGGCATCATCCTACCTCGGCGATTTGAGGGCACGTCCCCAGGATTGCCCTCGCCTTGGCCTTACCGAACTTAGGTCCGAGGCGGGAATTTATCCACATCCACCGCCTGAAGGGTCAGTTTTCGGAGCCTCGGCAGACAGTGGATATGGACATATTCGGGCCCCCGGGGGCCGAAATATATCCATATCCACCTCCCGCTGGGGCAACAGGACGTCGGTTCCCAGGTGGTGGATATGGATAAATCCCCGCCTCGCATTAGGGGTAGGGATAAGCTCGGGGCTGGCTGCTCGCTCCGCAGCTCCCCCAGGCAGGCGGCGGCCTGCTCGTCGGCGTGATCCTCGGGGTCGCGGCCGCCGCCGGCGTGGCCTGCCTGACTGTCGGCGGCTTCCAGGCAGGGCTGGACTTAAACGGTGCGTGGGCGATCTCTCGGGCCGTTTTCGTTTCGATGTCGTTCTGCGGTGAAGGCGGGTTGAAGACAGAACGAGGGAAAACGGAACAAAAACGAAAGCGGAAGACACCGTTTAGATTCAGCCCTGCTTCCAGGTGGCCAGGCGGCGGCAGTCCACGGGCCCGCGCGCCCAGCTCGAGGACATCGTCGTCGGCTTGACGCTGGAGGGAGAGCACGACAGCGGGAGAGTGCCGAGGCCCCGCGACGACGGCGATGAGACACGGAGCGTTGCATCCTCGAGTGCCGTCGGCACCGAGGGCAACGACGTGTTCTCCCGCATTGGAGCCAGAGTTGAGCATATCATGGTCCGCTTGGTGAGACGGTCAGGCAAGCAGGCAAGCGGTATCGAGGTGAAGCAGATGGACGGCAAGGTGTTGGAGGTCACCGGGGTGGAGGACACTGGGCTCGTCGGGGAGTGGAATCTGAAGTACCCGACACGGTGCGTGAATGTCGGTGACCACATCGTGAGCGTTAACGGCATCATGTCGAATACCAAGCGGATGATGAGCGAATTCGAAGTGTCGTCGACACTCAATTTGGTCGTCGAGCGTAGTGCTGAATCTGTTACGAGCGTTTGATGATTATTTGGATTGCGCAGCACCGCCGACCCCCTTAGGGGAGAGTCGCTGTTGCGGCTTCTGGGTGCTGCGTGACTTATGCTTGTATTCATATCTAGTGGCCTTCGGCCCATCCGGCCACTGTGTAGGAGGAGGAGGAGGAGGAGGAGGAGGAGGAGGAGGTGGGTTGTGGTTCAGAGGCCTCTTGGATATGTTCGCTGGGATCTCTTGAGACACCTCCTGGGAGCCCGCCCGAGGCGGTCTGGAGGCCTCTGGAGGGCCTTTTTGGGGGGTCTCTTTTGGGCCTCTTGGGGGTCCCTTTGGGGGCCTCTCGGGGCCCCTTGGGGGCCTCCTGGCCCCTCCTGGGGGCCTCTTGGGGCGGAACGTTACAATGTTTGGTTCTTGGTCACCTGCTTGGCCCCCTCTTGGGGCCCCTCTCGGGACCCTCTTGGGCTGTCTCGAGCCCTCTTGAGCCGTCTTGGGGCCCTCTTGGGCCGTCTGGGGGCATTCTTGGGGGCCTCTTGGGCCGTCTTGGGGCGGTCATGGGAGCCTCTAGGGCCGTCTTCGAGCGTCGGAAGCCCGAAGAGGCGAGAAAACCAAGCAGCTCCAACAATTACTCCGACGGAAGGACCCCACATGAGAATCTCTTTAGCTTGCATGGGGGTATCCTCCTGCCCCTTCCCTTCTCCCACCTACTCTTGCCTTCTCGTTCTCCTCCTGTCTGCTCCTCCTCCTGCCTCAACCCCTGCCTCTTCCTCCTCTTCTTGCCTCCTCCACCTCCTCCCCCTCCCCCTCGTTATGCTTCCTCCCCCCCATTCCCCCTGCCCCTCCTGCCTCCTGCCTCCTCCTCCTGCTCTCCCTCTCCCTTCTCCTCCTCCTCCTCCTCCTCATCCCCTGTCCTCCTCCTCTCCCTCTCCCTCATCCGCTCCTCCTCCTCCTCCTCCTCCTCGTTTCCATATTCCTCCCCCCTCCTCCTCCTCCCCTCCTCCTCCTCCTCCTCCTCCTCCTCCTCCTCCTGCCTCCTCCTTAGGCCTCCTGCCCCCTCCTGGGGCCTCCTGGGGCCTCTTGGGGCCTCCTGGAGCCTTCTGGGCCTTCCGGGACCTACTGGGGCCTCCTCGGGCATTCCTCCTCCTCCTTTTCCTCCTCGTCCTTCCTCCCCTCAGCCTCTTCCTCTTCCTGCTTTCCTGTCTCGTCCTGCATCATCCCTCCTCCTTTTCCTGGCAAATTTCCTCCTCCTCGTCCTCGTGCGGAACACGACCCAGAGGAAGCGCACGACGTGCGTCCCAGCCGATACGCGCCGGAGGACGACCCAGAGGAAGCGCGCGCCAGAGGATGACCCGGAGGAACCACGTGAGCTGCGGGCCCCATAGGGAGGGGGCTCCCGCCTGACGCGTCTTCAAATTTCACTCAGACGAGGGTCCCGCTTGATACTTCTTCCAAATTCAGACCTGAGGAGCCCAAAAGTGACGACAGTTACAGGAATCCGATGACCCGCTCGGATTATTAACATGATCTTCGGGCCCCATAGGGAGGGGGCTCCCGCCTGAGACTTGCTCGCAATTCACTGACAAACGAGGCTCCCGCCTGATACTTCCTCCAAATTCAGACCTGAGGAGCCCAAAAGTGACGACAGTTACAGGAATCCGATGACCCGTTTGGATTAGTAACATGATCTGCGGGCTCCATAGGGAGGGGGCTCCCGCCTGAGACTTCCTCACAGTTCACTCACAGACGAGATTCCCGCTTGATACTTCCTCCAAATTCAGACCTGAGGAGCCCAAAAGTGACGACAGTTACAGGAATCCGATGACCCGCTCGGATTAGTAACATGATCTGCGGGCCCCATATGCAGGGGGCTCCCGCTTGAAACGTCTTCACAATTCACTCACACACGAGGCTCCCGCTTTATACTTCCTTCAAATTCAGACCTGAGGAGCCCAAAAGTGACGACTGTTACAGGAATCCGATGACCCGCTTGGATTAGTAACATGTTCTGCGGGCCCCATAGGGAGGGAGCTCCCGCCTGAGACTTCCTCACAATTCACTCACAGACGACGCTCCCGCTTTATACTTCCTCCAAATTCAGACCCGAGGAGCCCAAAACTGACGACTGTTAGAGGAATCCGATGGCCCGCTCGGATTAATAACATGATTTGCCGGCCCCATAGGGAGGGGGCTCCCGCCTGAGACTTCGTCACAATTCACTCACAGACGAGGCTCCCGCTTGATATTTCCTCCAAATTCAGACTTGAGGAGCCCTAAAGTGACGACAGTTAGAGGAATCGGATGACCTGCTCGGATTAGTAACATGATCTGCGGGCCCCATAGGGAGGGGGCTCCCGCCTGAGACTTGCTCGCAATTCACTCACAGACGAGGCTCCCGCCTGATACTTCTTCCAAATTCAGACCTGAGGAGCCCAAAATTGATTACAGTTACAAGAATCCGATGACCCGCTCGGATTAATAACATGATCTGCGGGCCCCATAGGGAGGGGGCTCCCGCCTGAGACTTCCTCACAGTTCACTCACAGACGAGATTCCCGCTTGATACTTCCTCCAAATTCAGACCTGAGGAGCCCAAAAGTGACGACTGTTATAGGAATCCGATGAGCCGCTCGGATTAGTAACATGATCTGCGGGCCCCATAGGGAAAGGGCTCCCGCCTGAGACTTCCTCACAGTTCACTCACAGACGAGATTCCCGCTTGATACTTCCTCCAAATTCAGACTTGAGGAGCCCAAAAGCGACGACAGTTACAGGAATCCGATGACCCGCTCGGATTAGTAACATGATCTGCGGGCCCCATAGGGAGGGGGCTCCCGCCTGATACTTCCTCACAGTTCACTCACAGACGAGGCTCCCGCTTGATACTTCCTCCAAATTCAGACCTGAGGAACCCTAAAGTGACGACAGTTATAGGAATCCGATGACCCGCTCGGATTAGTAACATGATCTGCGGGCCCCATAGGGAGAGGGCTCTTGCCTGATACTTCCTCACAGTTCACTCACAGACGAGGCTCCCGCTTGATACTTCCTCCAAATTCAGACTTGAGGAGCCCAAAAGTGACGACAGTTATAGGAATCCGATGACCCGCTCGGATTAGTAACATGATCTGCGGGCCCCATAGGGAGGGGGCTCCCGCCTGAGACTTCCTCACTATTCACTCACAGACGAGGCTCCCTCGTGGTGGATGATGGTGATGGGATGATGACGACGGTGTTTGATGATGATATATGATTGATTATGATGATGATGTTGATGATGATGATGATGATGATGATGATGATGATGGTGGTGGTGGTGATGATGACGACGTGATGATGATGATGGTGGTGATGATGAGCGGTGGTGGTGAGTGATTGTGCGTTTCTGATGGTAAATGGTGGTGATGATGATGGGGACGAAGTGGTGGGTCAGCGAGTAGTGATGATGATGATGATGATGATGATGATGATGATGATGATGATGATGATGATGATGATGATGATGATGATGATGATGATGATGATGTTCGTTCGATGCCGATGATGGTGAGTGATCGTGCGATGGTGATGGTGATGATGATGCGGAGGAGGAAGCAAAGAGGAGCAGAGGAGAGGGAGGAGGAGGAGATCCTGCGCGGAGGGTGTGCAGAGAAAACAAGAACCCCACTTAGGATGTGGGGAAAAAACACATGAGAAAGTCAACGATTTTGGCCTCTTGGGGCCCTCTTGGGAGGCCTCTTCGACGCCTCCTGGGGCGTCCTGCAGGCATCTTGGGCCGTCTGGACCCGTCCTGGGCGTCTTGGGACGATGCTTCGGCGATTCGGAGCCCTCGTGGACCGTCTTGGAGGTCTCTTGCGGCCCTTGCGGCCCGTTTTGAGGCCCTCGATGCCCCCCGGCAGATTTTCTGGAGCAAAGTGCCCCCCCCCCCCCCCGGGCCGCCCAGGGAGACTCCCCCCCCTCCAAATCGACTGGACCGGGCTCCTCCTGGGGAGCGTTTTGTCGCAGGCCTAGAGGTTGACACCAACACCAACATCGGCGGTGCGCCTCCACCGAGGGAAGAGGATCCCGATCTCGGTGATGGTGGCAATATTCTCGCTTCCAAGGTGACCGAACTATTGCCACCAACGCCGAAATCTGGGATCGTCTTCCCCCTGTGGAGGCAAACCCCTGTGTTGGTGTTGGTGCCCATTTCCAGGCCTCCAAATTTTGGGGAGGGTGAAGCGTCTCACACGCCGATGAACCCCTAGGGGGTCGGCGGAAAGGTCGCGTTTGCTGTGGCCTCCAGACATGGAACGGTGGGGAGTGCGTGAGCGGGAGCACCACGAGGAGGAGGAGGAGGAGGAGGAAGAGGAGGAGGAGGAGGAGGAGGAGGAGGAGGAGAAGGAGGAGGGCGGAGGGATGGAGGATCAAGTCGGGCACGTCCCTCTACAGGAGGAAGATTCAAACATAGTCAACAAGAATGTCTGTGGAAGATTGTTCTAGCATTTTTTCATGAATGTTTGATTATTATCTGAGTATGTTTGCATTTTTCTGCCAAGGTCCGCCTGTAGGGGGACATGCCCGACCTAAATGGAGGAGTGGTGAGCGAAGGGCGACAGAAATCTGCGAGGCGGAGGTGGGGGAGCCAGCGTGGGAGCAGGAGAGGGACGGGGCAGTGCAGCGATCACGGCCGCGAGCACGCGGGCACGAGGAGGGAAGGACGAGGGCGAGCAGCACGCGGAGGAGGAGGAGGAGGAGGAGGAGGAGGAGGAGGAGGAGGAGGAGGAGGAGGAGGAGGAGGAGGAGGGAGGAGGAGACTTCGAGAGTTTCTGGGCGCGCGGGGCCCTCGCCGCCGCCTGCGAACTCGATGCGACCGGGATTCGATGCTGCTCGCTGGAGCGAACTCGCGATGGCTGACACGCAAGAAACGCTGTGCGGGAGGCGAGAAGGAACAGGAGCTGGACGGGGATGGAAGGGGGGGGGAGAGTTATCGTAGCGCATTGTTGATGCCCTTGATGGTGGGCATCATTCATCCGTCGGTTCGGGTACGTAGGAGA